ATACTTAAAAAGAAACACTTAAAAGAATCACTTAAAAAGAAACAGAAGATGATGACTAGAAGATATGCCTATTAAACAGACAACACCTACAGGCAAATACTATTTCCAATTTCTGCAGTTAAAGATCAGAAGCCAAAAATATTTCAAAGTAGAGTTAAATAAAGGTCGTTCAAAACTAAAGCCCAAACGTGCAATACAGTCTCTTCTCTATAGATAACCTGTGTCACATACAGAAAATACTACACGAACAGCTGAACTTGCTACTGAGGTTATTCATAGGCAGTTATAAAAAGCCAAGACAAAGCCTAATTTAACAAAATCAGCTTCGGACCTTTTCAGTAAAGTCTTACTCTAGCATTTCCTTCATGTAAAGTCACCCAGAGAAAGGATACCCTACCTTTCCTGGGACAGGCCCACCAAACTTCGACCATCCACACTGAGCAGCTGATCCCCGGCAGCCAGCCGACCATCCTAGTTACACAGTCGAGAGAGAAGAAGATTCATACACCAATGCTAACATGGCCTAAATTAAAACAATTATTCACACACCCTCATAAAGAAAGGATTTAAAAGCATTTCCAAAGGATCTTTCTACCTTTGAACTTCTGATGTTTTAAGAATATTACTAACCACATCTGCAGCACCTCCTTTTACAACAGACTTGACGTATATTCCAAGTTTGTCTTGACCAGCACCCTATTGAGAAAGAGGCATTAATTTATTAAATTTATATTTGATCTCTTAAGCATTCCACAACTATTAATCAGAATTTTACATGGCTAGGTAAACTTCTAGGTTCTCATTACTTTTATATATTCCCAAACTGGAAAAAAAACAATTATACAGAAGAGTTACATTCATTTAAAGTAAAATTAAAATTTTAATATTAGGCCTAATGAACCTGCAAGCATTGTTAGAAGCAAGTATTTGGACTTAATGCAAGCTTGAATAAGAAAGAAAATACAGTAACTAAAACTTACACTTTAGAAGTTTGTTCTAATGCCCTTCTAATAAGAAATGCTTATTTGCACATCTACACGTGTTTTTATTTCTCATACCTCTATGTATTATGTTCCAAAAGACTGCACTGTTTCCCTTGCCCGAATGAAACAAGGTAAATTGCAGGTTACAAGAAAAAGGAATAGAAAGGCTTTTTACATTCATTAGGGCTGTAAAGGAGCTAGTGTAAAATGAACAAACAGTGTTTCTAGTTTTACAATGAAAACAATGGTAGACATTATAATTCAGTCTTTTAGAGTTGACAAGAGCCAAAATTTAAGTCTACTGCAAAACCATGCAATTTTGTTCATAAAACATCTGCCTCAAAGTATTCCATTAAATTTTAAAAGCGCTATTAAGAGTGAATTTATTGCGAGACAACCAACAGATTCAAGAGAAGAGAACATAAGCATCTATTCAAGCCATGCTGCTGCGTCATCCACATGCTCCAGTTTACAAGACACCAACCAGATCAGTCTAAATATTAGTACCACAAACCTTTATATGGTCATTTACAAGGTAAGACAATTATGGTGATTTCATTATCTACTATAGCAAACCTGGCCATTTCACTCTGCAAGTCACTTGGAAGAAGAGTGCTACATTTTCAACAGAGCACAGTTCTTAATGGTACGCCGTTTTCTAAAATAACTCCAAAGTCGCTTTGATATTGAATATGTAACTTCCTCCTCCTTCCTCCCCCACCCTCCAGCGCTTTTCC